CTACAGTGTCTACCTTCTCTAACTCATAGTGCTCTCACTATCACTACAGTGTCTACCTTCTCTAACTTATAGTGCACATATCTTTCCTTTCTCGGGTGAGATACAGTACCACGTGTGACAGGTGAGGGAGACGGGGTCCTCTTGACAGTACCACGTGCGACGGGTGAGGGAGACGGGGTCCTCTTGACAGTACCACGTGTGACGGGTGAGGGAGACGGGGTCCTCTTGACAGTACCACGTGTGACAGGTGAGGGAGACGGGGTCCTCTTGACAGTATCACGTGTGACAGGTGAGGGAGACGGGGTCCTCTTCACAGTATCACGTGTGACAGGTGAGGGAGACGGGGTCCTCTTGACAGTATCACGTGTGACAGGTGAGGGAGACGGGGTCCTCTTGACAGTATCACGTGTGACAGGTGAGGGAGACGGGGTCCTCTTGACAGTATCACGTGTGACAGGTGAGGGAGACGGGGTCCTCTTGACAGTATCACGTGTGACAGGTGAGGGAGACGGGGTCCTCTTGACAGTACCACGTGTGACAGGTGAGGGAGACGGGGTCCTCTTGACAGTATCACGTGTGACAGGTGAGGGAGACAGGGTCCTCTTGACAGTACCACGTGTGACAGGTGAGGGAGACGGGGTCCTCTTGACAGTACCACGTGTGACGGGTGAGGGAGACGGGGTCCTCTTGACAGTATCACGTGTGACAGGTGAGGGAGACGGGGTCCTCTTGACAGTATCACGTGTGACAGGTGAGGGAGACGGGGTCCTCTTGACAGTATCACGTGTGACAGGTGAGGGAGACGGGGTCCTCTTGACAGTACCACGTGTGACGGGTGAGGGAGACGGGGTCCTCTTGACAGTACCACGTGTGACAGGTGAGGGAGACGGGGTCCTCTTGACAGTATCACGTGTGACAGGTGAGGGAGACGGGGTCCTCTTGACAGTATCACGTGTGACAGGTGAGGGAGACGGGGTCCTCTTGACAGTATCACGTGTGACAGGTGAGGGAGACGGGGTCCTCTTGACAGTATCACGTGTGACAGGTGAGGGAGACGGGGTCCTCTTGACAGTACCACGTGTGACGGGTGAGGGAGACGGGGTCCTCTTGACAGTATCACGTGTGACGGGTGAGGGAGACGGGGTCCTCTTGACAGTATCACGTGTGACAGGTGAGGGAGACAGGGTCCTCTTGACAGTACCACGTGTGACAGGTGAGGGAGACGGGGTCCTCTTGACAGTACCACGTGTGACGGGTGAGGGAGACGGGGTCCTCTTGACAGTATCACGTGTGACGGGTGAGGGAGACGGGGTCCTCTTGACAGTATCACGTGTGACAGGTGAGGGAGACGGGGTCCTCTTGACAGTATCACGTGTAACAGGTGAGGGAGACGGGGTCCTCTTGACAGTATCACGTGTGACAGGTGAGGGAGACGGGGTCCCCTTGACAGTACCACGTGTGACGGGTGAGGGAGACGGGGTCCTCTTGACAGTATCACGTGTGACGGCTGAGGGAGACGGGGTCCTCTTGACAGTATCACGTGTGACAGGTGAGGGAGACAGGGTCCTCTTGACAGTACCACGTGTGACAGGTGAGGGAGACGGGGTCCTCTTGACAGTACCACGTGTGACGGGTGAGGGAGACGGGGTCCTCTTGACAGTATCACGTGTGACGGGTGAGGGAGACGGGGTCCTCTTGACAGTACCACGTGTGACAGGTGAGGGAGACGGGGTCCTCTTGACAGTATCACGTGTGACGGGTGAGGGAGACGGGGTCCTCTTGACAGTATCACGTGTGACGGGTGAGGGAGACGGGGTCCTCTTGACAGTACCACGTGTGACAGGTGAGGGAGACGGGGTCCTCTTGACAGTATCACGTGTGACAGGTGAGGGAGACGGGGTCCTCTTGACAGTATCACGTGTGACAGGTGAGGGAGACGGGGTCCTCTTGACAGTACCACGTGTGACAGGTGAGGGAGACGGGGTCCTCTTGACAGTATCACGTGTGACAGGTGAGGGAGACGGGGTCCTCTTGACAGTACCACGTGTGACAGGTGAGGGAGACGGGGTCCTCTTGACAGTATCACGTGTGACGAGTGAGGGAGACGGGGTCCTCTTGACAGTACCACGTGTGACGGGTGAGGGAGACGGGGTCCTCTTGACAGTATCACGTGTGACAGGTGAGGGAGACGGGGTCCTCTTGACAGTATCACGTGTGACAGGTGAGGGAGACGGGGTCCTCTTGACAGTACCACGTGTGACAGGTGAGGGAGACGGGGTCCTCTTGACAGTATCACGTGTGACAGGTGAGGGAGACGGGGTCCTCTTGACAGTACCACGTGTGACAGGTGAGGGAGACGGGGTCCTCTTGACAGTACCACGTGTGACAGGTGAGGGAGACGGGGTCCTCTTGACAGTATCACGTGTGACAGGTGAGGGAGACGGGGTCCTCTTGACAGTACCACGTGTGACGGGTGAGGGAGACGGGGTCCTCTTGACAGTATCACGTGTGACAGGTGAGGGAGACGGGGTCCTCTTGACAGTACCACGTGTGACAGGTGAGGGAGACGGGGTCCTCTTGACAGTACCACGTGTGACGGGTGAGGGAGACGGGGTCCTCTTGACAGTACCACGTGTGACGGGTGAGGGAGACGGGGTCCTCTTGACAGTATCACGTGTGACAGGTGAGGGAGACGGGGTCCTCTTGACAGTATCACGTGTGACGGGTGAGGGAGACGGGGTCCTCTTGACAGTATCACGTGTGACAGGTGAGGGAGACGGGGTCCTCTTGACAGTATCACGTGTGACGGGTGAGGGAGACGGGGTCCTCTTGACAGTATCACGTGTGACAGGTGAGGGAGACGGGGTCCTCTTGACAGTATCACGTGTGACAGGTGAGGGAGACGGGGTCCTCTTGACAGTACCACGTGTGACAGGTGAGGGAGACGGGGTCCTCTTGACAGTATCACGTGTGACAGGTGAGGGAGACGGGGTCCTCTTGACAGTACCACGTGTGACAGGTGAGGGAGACGGGGTCCTCTTGACAGTACCACGTGTGACGGGTGAGGGAGACGGGGTCCTCTTGACAGTACCACGTGTGACGGGTGAGGGAGACGGGGTCCTCTTGACAGTATCACGTGTGACAGGTGAGGGAGACGGGGTCCTCTTGACAGTATCACGTGTGACGGGTGAGGGAGACGGGGTCCTCTTGACAGTATCACGTGTGACAGGTGAGGGAGACGGGGTCCTCTTGACAGTATCACGTGTGACGGGTGAGGGAGACGGGGTCCTCTTGACAGTACCACGTGTGACAGGTGAGGGAGACGGGGTCCTCTTGACAGTATCACGTGTGACAGGTGAGGGAGACGGGGTCCTCTTGACAGTATCACGTGTGACGGGTGAGGGAGACGGGGTCCTCTTGACAGTATCACGTGTGACAGGTGAGGGAGACGGGGTCCTCTTGACAATACCACGTGTGACGGGTGAGGGAGACGGGGTCCTCTTGACAGTACCACGTGTGACAGGTGAGGGAGACGGGGTCCTCTTGACAGTATCACGTGTGACAGGTGAGGGAGACGGGGTCCTCTTGACAGTATCACGTGTGACGGGTGAGGGAGACGGGGTCCTCTTGACAGTATCACGTGTGACAGGTGAGGGAGACGGGGTCCTCTTGACAGTATCACGTGTGACGGGTGAGGGAGACGGGGTCCTCTTGACAGTACCACGTGTGACAGGTGAGGGAGACGGGGTCCTCTTGACAGTATCACGTGTGACAGGTTAGGGAGACGGGGTCCTCTTGACAGTATCACGTGTGACGGGTGAGGGAGACGGGGTCCTCTTGACAGTATCACGTGTGACAGGTGAGGGAGACGGGGTCCTCTTGACAGTATCACGTGTGACAGGTGTGGGAGACGGGGTCCTCTTGACAGTACCACGTGTGACGGGTGAGGGAGACGGGGTCCTCTTGACAGTACCACGTGTGACGGGTGAGGGAGACGGGGTCCTCTTGACAGTATCACGTGTGACGGGTGAGGGAGACGGGGTCCTCTTGACAGTATCACGTGTGACGGGTGAGGGAGACGGGGTCCTCTTGACAGTATCACGTGTGACGGGTGAGGGAGACGGGGTCCTCTTGACAGTATCACGTGTGACGGGTGAGGGAGACGGGGTCCTCTTGACAGTACCACGTGTGACGGGTGAGGGAGACGGGGTCCTCTTGACAGTATCACGTGTGACGGGTGAGGGAGACGGGGTCCTCTTGACAGTATCACGTGTGACGGGTGAGGGAGACGGGGTCCTCTTGACAGTATCACGTGTGACAGGTGAGGGAGACGGGGTCCTCTTGACAGTATCACGTGTGGCGGGTGAGGGAGACGGGGTCCTCTTGACAGTATCACGTGTGACGGGTGAGGGAGACGGGGTCCTCTTGACAGTATCACGTGTGACAGGTGAGGGAGACGGGGTCCTCTTGACAGTATCACGTGTGACGGGTGAGGGAGACGGGGTCCTCAGTATCACGTGTGGGCGTTGTAGCCTCTCCGGTCTGAGATAAAACAATAACAAAGGCAGATAAAACGTCGCGTCCGAATCCGTCGAGCGCTGCTGACTTCCACAAACTTAAAACCTCTAATTGCCATTATTTTGACTTCATTCTAAGCTACTGACAGAATTTGAGAGTTTATTTAGAGATAATCACTGTTAATTATTGACTGGTGTGAGTAAGTTGTCCAGCGGTAACTCTCTTGCGGCGACTCAAGTGAAGGTTCGACGTCCGGGCGGCGGAACGCACCCTGGCTAATAAGGAAATAGACTATGGGGGCGTTCAACCAGTTTCACGTCAGGCTTAACCCATCTGGGTGTTGTCATTGTCCAGTCATCTGTAGCGCTGACAGTACACCTTCCCTGTGTAGTACTCTCTCTCCAGTACACCTTCCCTGTGTAGTACTCTCCCTCCAGTACACCTGACAGTACACCTTCCCTGTGTAGTACTCTCCCTCCAGTACACCTGACAGTACACCTTCCCTGTGTAGTACTCTCCCTCCAGTACACCTTCCCTGTGTAGTACTCTCTCTCCAGTACACCTTCCCTGTGTAGTACTCTCTCTCCAGTACACCTTCCCTGTGTAGTACTCGCCCTCCTGTACACCTTCCCTGTGTAGTACTCTCCCTCCAGTACACCTTCCCTGTGTAGTACTCTCCCTCCTGGACACCTTCCCTGTGTAGTACTCTCCCTCCAGTACACCTTCCCTGTGTAGTACTCTCCCTCCAGTACACCTTCCCTGTGTAGTACTCTCCCTCCAGTACACCTTCCCTGTGTAGTACTCTCCCTCCAGTACACCTTCCCTGTGTAGTACTCTCCCTCCAGTACACCTTCCCTGTGTAGTACTCTCCCTCCAGTACACCTTCCCTGTGTAGTACTCTCCCTCCAGTTCACCTTCCCTGTGTAGTACTCTCCCTCCAGTACACCTTCCCTGTGTAGTACTCTCCCTCCTGGACACCTTCCCTGTGTAGTACTCTCCCTCCAGTACACCTTCCCTGTGTAGTACTCTCTCTCCAGTACACCTTCCCTGTGTAGTACTCTCTCTCCAGTACACCTTCCCTGTGTAGTACTCTCCCTCCAGTACACCTTCCCTGTGTAGTACTCTCCCTCCAGTACACCTTCCCTGTGTAGTACTCTCCCTCCAGTACACCTTCCCTGTGTAGTACTCTCTCTCCAGTACACCTTCCCTGTGTAGTACTCTCCCTCCAGTACACCTTCCCTGTGTAGTACTCTCCCTCCAGTACACCTTCCCTGTGTAGTACTCTCCCTCCAGTACACCTTCCCTGTGTAGTACTCTCCCTCCAGTACACCTTCCCTGTGTAGTACTCTCTCTCCAGTACACCTTCCCTGTGTAGTACTCTCCCTCCTGGACACTGAGAGAGAGAGCACTGAGTTAGCTCGCATATTAAGTGCAAATTAGACACAAGAGATCGCAAGATGGCGCTTGAGCTCCACACAGACATCATCAGGACTCCTTCGGGATTTTTAAAGATCTTCGAGACGGTAATTTGTCCGTTATCCTGGTGGGGAATGTCCAGTTAGTGTCCGTTATCTTGGCAGAGAATGTCCAGTTAGTGTCCGTTATCCTGGTGGAGAATGTCCAGTTAGTGTCCGTTATTATGGGGGGAGAATGTCCCGTTAGTGTCCGTTATCTTGGCAGAGAATGTCCAGTTAGTGTCCGTTATCCTGGTGGGGAATGTCCAGTTAGTGTCCGCTATCCTGGTGGGGAATGTCCAGTTAGTGTCCGCTATCCTGGTGGGGAATGTCCAGTTAGTGTCCGCTATCCTGGTGGGGAATGTCCAGTTAGTGTCCGCTATCCTGGTGGGGAATGTCCAGTTAGTGTCCGCTATCCTGGTGGGGAATGTCCAGTTAGTGTCCGCTATCCTGGTGGGGAATGTCCAGTTAGTGTCCGCTATCCTGGTGGGGAATGTCCAGTTAGTGTCCGCTATCCTGGTGGGGAATGTCCAGTTAGTGTCCGCTATCCTGGTGGGGAATGTCCAGTTAGTGTCCGCTATCCTGGTGGGGAATGTCCAGTTAGTGTCCGCTATCCTGGTGGGGAATGTCCAGTTAGTGTCCGCTATCCTGGTGGGGAATGTCCAGTTAGTGTCAGCTATCCTGGTGGGGAATGTCCAGTTAGTGTCAGCTATCCTGGTGGGGAATGTCCAGTTAGTGTCCGCTATCCTGGTGGGGAATGTCCAGTTAGTGTCAGCTATCCTGGTGGGGAATGTCCAGTTAGTGTCAGCTATCCTGGTGGGGAATGTCCAGTTAGTGTCAGCCATCCTGGTGTAGAATGTCCAGTTAGTGTCCGCTATCCTGGTGGGGAATGTCCAGTTAGTGTCCGCTATCCTGGTGGGGAATGTCCAGTTAGTGTCCGCTATCCTGGTGGGGAATGTCCAGTTAGTGTCCGCTATCCTGGTGGGGAATGTCCAGTTAGTGTCAGCTATCCTGGTGGGGAATGTCCAGTTAGTGTCCGCTATCCTGGTGGGGAATGTCCAGTTAGTGTCCGCTATCCTGGTGGGGAATGTCCAGTTAGTGTCAGCTATCCTGGTGGGGAATGTCCAGTTAGTGTCCGCTATCCTGGTGGGGAATGTCCAGTTAGTGTCAGCTATCCTGGTGGGGAATGTCCAGTTAGTGTCAGCTATCCTGGTGGGGAATGTCCAGTTAGTGTCCGCTATCCTGGTGGGGAATGTCCAGTTAGTGTCCGCTATCCTGGTGGGGAATGTCCAGTTAGTGTCCGCTATCCTGGTGGGGAATGTCCAGTTAGTGTCCGCTATCCTGGTGGGGAATGTCCAGTTAGTGTCCGCTATCCTGGTGGGGAATGTCCAGTTAGTGTCCGCTATCCTGGTGGGGAATGTCCAGTTAGTGTCCGCTATCCTGGTGGGGAATGTCCAGTTAGTGTCCGCTATCCTGGTGGGGAATGTCCAGTTAGTGTCCGCTATCCTGGTGGGGAATGTCCAGTTAGTGTCCGCTATCCTGGTGGGGAATGTCCAGTTAGTGTCCGCTATCCTGGTGGGGAATGTCCAGTTAGTGTCCGCTATCCTGGTGGGGAATGTCCAGTTAGTGTCCGCTATCCTGGTGGGGAATGTCCAGTTAGTGTCCGCTATCCTGGTGGGGAATGTCCAGTTAGTGTCAGCTATCCTGGTGGGGAATGTCCAGTTAGTGTCCGCTATCCTGGTGGGGAATGTCCAGTTAGTGTCCGCTATCCTGGTGGGGAATGTCCAGTTAGTGTCCGCTATCCTGGTGGGGAATGTCCAGTTAGTGTCCGCTATCCTGGTGGGGAATGTCCAGTTAGTGTCCGCTATCCTGGTGGGGAATGTCCAGTTAGTGTCCGCTATCCTGGTGGGGAATGTCCAGTTAGTGTCCGCTATCCTGGTGGGGAATGTCCAGTTAGTGTCCGCTATCCTGGTGGGGAATGTCCAGTTAGTGTCCGCTATCCTGGTGGGGAATGTCCAGTTAGTGTCCGCTATCCTGGTGGGGAATGTCCAGTTAGTGTCCGCTATCCTGGTGGGGAATGTCCAGTTAGTGTCCGCTATCCTGGTGGGGAATGTCCAGTTAGTGTCCGCTATCCTGGTGGGGAATGTCCAGTTAGTGTCCGCTATCCTGGTGGGGAATGTCCAGTTAGTGTCCGCTATCCTGGTGGGGAATGTCCAGTTAGTGTCCGCTATCCTGGTGGGGAATGTCCAGTTAGTGTCCGCTATCCTGGTGGGGAATGTCCAGTTAGTGTCCGCTATCCTGGTGGGGAATGTCCAGTTAGTGTCCGCTATCCTGGTGGGGAATGTCCAGTTAGTGTCCGCTATCCTGGTGGGGAATGTCCAGTTAGTGTCCGCTATCCTGGTGGGGAATGTCCAGTTAGTGTCCGCTATCCTGGTGGGGAATGTCCAGTTAGTGTCCGCTATCCTGGTGGGGAATGTCCAGTTAGTGTCCGCTATCCTGGTGGGGAATGTCCAGTTAGTGTCCGCTATCCTGGTGGGGAATGTCCAGTTAGTGTCCGCTATCCTGGTGGGGAATGTCCAGTTAGTGTCCGCTATCCTGGTGGGGAATGTCCAGTTAGTGTCCGCTATCCTGGTGGGGAATGTCCAGTTAGTGTCCGCTATCCTGGTGGGGAATGTCCAGTTAGTGTCCGCTATCCTGGTGGGGAATGTCCAGTTAGTGTCCGCTATCCTGGTGGGGAATGTCCAGTTAGTGTCCGCTATCCTGGTGGGGAATGTCCAGTTAGTGTCCGCTATCCTGGTGGGGAATGTCCAGTTAGTGTCCGCTATCCTGGTGGGGAATGTCCAGTTAGTGTCCGCTATCCTGGTGGGGAATGTCCAGTTAGTGTCCGCTATCCTGGTGGGGAATGTCCAGTTAGAATGTCCAGTTAGTGTCCGCTATCCTGGTGGGGAATGTCCAGTTAGTGTCCGCTATCCTGGTGGGGAATGTCCAGTTAGTGTCCGCTAGAATGTCCAGTTAGTGTCCGCTATCCTGGTGGGGAATGTCCAGTTAGTGTCCGCTATCCTGGTGGGGAATGTCCAGTTAGTGTCCGCTATCCTGGTGGGGAATGTCCAGTTAGTGTCCGCTATCCTGGTGGGGAATGTCCAGTTAGTGTCCGCTATCCTGGTGGGGAATGTCCAGTTAGTGTCCGCTATCCTGGTGGGGAATGTCCAGTTAGTGTCCGCTATCCTGGTGGGGAATGTCCAGTTAGTGTCCGCTATCCTGGTGGGGAATGTCCAGTTAGTGTCCGCTATCCTGGTGGGGAATGTCCAGTTAGTGTTAACATTTCCTCTCAGCCCTACACTAATTATTGTACATTTGTTAATGGGTTATTCATCACTTGTTGATTGTTTACCTTTTGTTCGTGTCGTTGTGAATAATACACAAAATAATTGTTAATACACTCTTGTATATTTTAGAATTAACAACGTAATAATTAATATGATTTTATTCTTATTACTTGTGCATTATTATAATTGTATTTTATATAGATAAATGACAGTATTTAACGTGATATATCTATGATAACATCCACAGGAGCCATCATGAGGATTCGAAGCTTTGTGCAGAATTCCCAGAACCAATGTCTGGGAATACCCAGCGCATAGGTTCGAATCCTCATGATGGCTTCGGTGGAATTTCTGTGTTTTATATATTAGGAGACGGGCACCCGGCGGTGCCCGGGCCTGTTTGTCCCTCCCTCCAACCCTTCCCCCTCTGCAGGCGATGAGTGACGATAACGTGACTGAAGGCATGATGACCACACCACACACCACAAGATGGAGAACATGTTTGGGTCCATCCTGGGCCATTATTAAGTCGTCGTTTTTACATGTTCTGATGTGTGGTTTGGTCCTCTTCCCTCTCTTTCTCGCCCCTTCCACCCTCTCCCCCTTCGCCACCACCGCTTCCCCCTTTCCACTTCCCCCTCAGCCCTTTTCTCCTCCTCCCCTTCCACCTGTTATATCGTCCCAAGCAAGGCTCGTGGAGTAGAACTCTCCCCCACAAGTCAGTGAACCTCCTGGCCTCAAATATGTAAGTTCACAATGTCTATGGTAGAGTGAAAGTCTAAGTAAACTCCACCAGTTTACTGGGGCGAACTTAGCTACATGACACAGCTTAGTTACAATAGGTATGCATACCCACAACCAAGTAACAATCAAGCAAGTTAACACAAGGCACAGCAGGTAGATGTCACTAAGCAAAGATCACCTAATAACATAGGTACACTAGACAGCATGGGACAGGCTGGCCAGTCATGGAGATGGTGGGTGGTGACTATACATAACCAGTGAGGGGGGGGGTCATGTCTCAGCATGAACATCTATATAGACAAGTCAGTAAACTATCTGACTGACAGTCAGTAAACTATCTGACTGACAGTCAGTAAACTATCTGACTGACAGTCAGTAAACTATCTGACTGACAGTCAGTAAACTATATGACTGACAGTCAGTAAACTGTTAGTTAGGAGCAAGGGACGACTCCCGATCATAATGTGGCATTCTTCCAAGAAAGGGGACTTGGAAACGAATGGTTGTCGAGGGTGTGGTGTTGTGAGTTACTGAGGAAGTCTTGGTTGTAGGATTGATATAAAGCCATTGCTTGGTTACTGACTTTAATACTTATACTGATACATTACTAGCAGCGTCCAAGCGTGGCGGGCGTCCTGCACGCTCTAAGTTTACACACTATCTGCTGGCGTATGAAACGCAGCCATACAAACGGATGGTGCCGTTTTCTATGAACATGACATCCTTCCTTTTCTTTCAAAAGAATGAATACAGGATGTCTACCATGCTTCTAGCACAAAGCAAAGTTATTGACACAAAGTAAGTTATTAACATATCAAGAGATATTGCATAGATTTTACATTAATTAAGCACACAAAGAATTTAAACAACTTAATCTTTACCACAGAGGATATCAGTGTTAAATATACATATGCAATGTTAAACAAAAAAATGAAAGAAACTGTACTATAAAGTTACAAAATATTGAATGAGAGATCTGCATTATTCAAACAATATTAA